CCTCATCCTCTGTTCTCTTCCATCTCCAGTGTGACTCTTTCCCACAGCTGTGGCTGGCTAATGTCCCAGCTAAGCCCTTAGACATGACCCCGATGAAACTGGCAGCCCCCTGAGTGCCTGTGGAATAACTTGAAATAAAATCTGTGCATTCTAAGTGATGCTTTAACTGCCCCGGGCTTTTCCTTCCCACTGCCTATTTTGTTTAAGCAAAGCGAGTCAAATAGTTTTCTTCTCCGGTCACCAGTGTAGCAATGTAGCTGCCTCATCATGATCACTAAACTGGTATAGTGATAATCCCAGATGCTGCCCACATAGGGAGCATGTCTGGGTTGCTGCTGTCTTGGAGACCCACTTCCCTGTCCCAAGATGATCAAGAGCCAACTGGGTTTCCTTGGAACTTTTTTCTTTGAGCAGTCCTGTGGTAGACTCCCATCTTAAGATATTATTGACAAGTCTAGAGGAAAGCCTTGACTCATTTAAAACGTTTTAAGAGAAAATCCTGCTACTTAACACCTCCATACTGAAGCAAGCAGCTGGAAATCGCTCTTGGTTTTATCGAGGTCAGAAGGCTTGTGGGCTTCAGATTTGCATTTGGCAGCAACGTGTGATATTTTTGGAGTTCCAGCATGGAGCTCAGTACACATCTCATTTCACTTTTTGGGCAGTGGATGGCTGCAAAGCCTAGGGGCCATCCATCTCTGTCAGAGCTTGTCACTTGCTTCTTTATGAACACAGCTATTAATACTCTCTCACTTGATCTGGCCAACTTCCTGAGGCCAGTGCTTTAATGTCTCCTTCCTTCTGCCCTGCCCTTCTTGACCATATTTTAAAATTCAGAAACATCGGCTCTGGTCTGAATTGGTGGCTTAGGGTTTTAGGGTGGCTTTGGGCCTGAGTGGATGAATCTTCTAGGGTGCCTCCCAGACCAAATGGTGGTTTCTCATTCTCTTGTGGGATCTCAGGCATCTGTGAACTATCATTCAGACTTGGTAAATGAGGAGAGGGAGGCTGCTGGGTGCATCCCGCAGCAGAACAAGTTCCAGTGATGGGGCAGGGCTTGCTAGTTGCTGCCCAGATCCACTCTCCTCCTCCTTTTGGACATAACCCCAAATTTGGACATAACCTAGGGCTGCAGTGCACCCTGCTTAAAACCTCATTTCACAGTTTCCCTTGGAGCCAGATGGAGTCATGTGATGCAGTTCTGGTTGCAGTTAAGTAATGAAACTAAGGGGTAGGACTTCTGGGAAGGGTGCCTGAAAGGGACTGACTCTGTCAGGGGATGTGCTTATTGGCCTTTCCAGTGTCCCTTCCACTTCTAAACTATATTCAGGACATGCTGCTTGGTACTATAGAAGTCATCTTGGATGGTAAGGCTGATGCCGGGTGGAGTGTGATGCAAAACTTGTGGGCTCTTTGACTTGATCCTGAAACGAGTTTCAGAGCGGCCAACAAAGTTTTTAAAAAAAGTTTAATAGAGAACCAAAAGGAGAGAAAAGTATAGAAGTCTAGGGGTAAGACTATGTCTTGGGGTAAGGGATGGCATGGGAGTCTTGGGGTAAGACTATGTTTTTGCTTTTTATGAAATGGTAGATATAGCTACCTAGTTACTGTTATGCTAGTGAGGCTGGAACACAGAGAGCTGCTGCTCCAGGGAGATTTGCCATTTCCCTGCCTCTGATAGGCGAGAGGATAGTCTTTTCTTTTTTTTTTTAACTTTTAAATTTTTTATTTTAAAGATGTGGGGTGCAATTTGGGGTTAGGTATACAAATATTCATTATGCAGGTACCCTTGTTGATGAGGTGTACCCCCCCTTCCCCAGGCAGATTCCCACTACTACCAATCCCACCTCCCTGAACCCTACACCCACTGCAGTTTCCCGCTACTGCCAATCCTTTTCTTATAGTATTACCACAGTTGTTCAAAGTCTGCTTATGGGTGAGAACATGTGATACTCAGTTCTTTGTTTCTGTGAAAGATCACTCAATATTATAGACTCTA